AAACGGTTCTTCTACCTATTGACTTCATTCTACATTAACGTAGAATACATCTTCTACCAAAATCTGAGAAAATCTAGGAAAATTAGTTAACTCCCAGATCTAAAAAATTTCGAAAATATTTTTTTTTAAAAAAAATCCACGTTTTTTTTATCAGATTTTGACATTTTTTTTCTTTTTTTTTGGCTGTCATCGTTCTCTTCTTCTTCTTTTACATTGATCAAGCAGATTTTTTCTAAGTTTACATATCTTCTGCTTCAAATATGTTACATATCTATGTGATTTGTGGTTTATGGAAATCGGAGACAGATAAGAAGTGGATTTTTATGGCTGATGCAGAAAAATAAGCTAGATTAGTCGCTGTTGAATCAAACGACCAAGCGGAGGAGGAGAAAGAACAAATAAGTTTTTACTTACCGGAAATTGTTTTTCTGGTGGTGACTATAATTGGAGAAGAGTATGGAGACACGGTGAAGAAAAAGTATTGGGTTTAGAAAGTTTTTTTTTATGCTTTAGTAGAAAGTCTTGTCTACTTGTATTTTTTTTAATTAATAAAACATTATTAAAAAATTAATTAATTTATTAATTCATAATTAAAGTGTATAATTGGATTAAATTTAAATTAAATATTAAAGAGACAAATTTTTAGAAAACATTAAGGGGACAAATGTTAATTCAATTAACATTATAAAAACAATTTTCCCTTGATTTTTTAACCAAATTAATATGAGTGGCATTGATTGTAATTATTCTAGTAACATAAATATTTTTTCAAAAAATCCTTAATAAGTTCTCTGAGCTTGATAAGCTCTCTGAGCTTGACACCTCAGCATGATACATTTGTAAAATACACATGATCTAAAGCTCTTTTTTAATGTGTCGTTATAAATTAATAATATAAGATTATTGCTTATATTAATTTTAACTAAAGTCTTATTTTGTTAATTAAATGTAGTAAGAGTGAACGAAGAAGTAAGAACTATCTAAAAAAAAAAAAAAGAAGTAAGAACTATGGTAAGAAGTATCCATATGAAATCGTATTATGAAACAAAATAAAAATTAGAACTTGTACCAGTTTAAAACTGAGGGAGTATTTATGATTTTTTAGTTGTTACCAACAATCATAAATCAAAAGATTATACTACTAAAAACTGTAGGAGATGAAATCAAAACCAATCACAAATAATGTTTAGATTTTGACTTTTAAATTACAACCGTTTTGCCCCCAAATAAAAAGTTATATCCGTAAAATTTCTTAGCCTATATTTGATTTAGGTTAACCATACTGTCTCTCGTTCGTTAGGTAGCTAATTAGATCACAAAAGTGATTAGTTCGAAATTGTTCCAAAAAAAAGTTATTAGTTTAGAATTTCCTTTGACAATCTGTTGCTTTAGTTGTTGAGTTCAGAATAACTTTTGACATTCAGGTAAGGGACTTACTAAATCCACGCCCATTTTTATAATAAATATAAACTAGATGGTAAATAAAAATAACCATGTCTTCATGTCATTAATAATTGGGTAATAATTTGGGGAAAAGGACTAAACCAGGAAGGTTAAGTAAGGAGGGAAATTTAGTAGATTTTCTGATTTGGTAGTTTGAGTTTATCATCTGCTTTACTCCCTTTTTAAGTACAAAATTAAACAAACTACAAAAGAAGAAACAGGATTCTTGATTCTTACCTCAAAATTAAACAAATTACAAAAGAGAAAAACAAGATTCTTGATTTTCACTTTTTTGTGTGGTCCAAGTCTCTTGAAACAAAACAAAACGTAGAGAGAAGCTACAAGGCCCACAAACACAATTATGATTCAAAGAAAAGTGCGACACAAACACTGAGACGATTCTTGGCTCAGAAAATGACCCAAAAAGAAAAGGACAAAAAGAGATGAGAATTATTCTTATGAACATTCTCCAACTCACGCGTTTTAACTTCAAAGACAATTCTTGATTCCCAATCTGTGTGTTCGCAGAAGTGTTTTCTCTGCGTTTGTTTAATCCAATCGACATATCAACAGAGCAACACTATTATCATAAACCACTAAATACACTTCATGATTCAGTCTACTTTATTTTAAAGTTTTGATGTGTTCTTTGGTTTCAATTTAGTCCTTTTAATTATTTTTCGGAAGCTTTTGACAATCTATCCTTCGGCTAAGAATATTCTCTATAGCCACCATTGTAACGCTTTTATAACTGAATAAGGAAACAATAAATTCCGTCTTCAACATTTAACTTCTAAGAACATCGTCGTCTTATCTACTTGTAAGCAAATCCAACCTATATTCCAAAATAGAATATTCTAAGACTTTCCACGAATTGAAAAACCTTAAAATCCTTCCTTCCGGAAAATAATAGTTTTATTCAAATACTTTTAGAAAACTAAACAACACATTGACTCCGATGTCAAGACCAGACAACCCAAAGCACTACATATTTTATCCATTTAGTACACAAACATGCCAAATTCAAAATTGTCGCACAAACACACAGCCAACACAAATAAGAGTACACATAATTTCAAGTTAAGTCTTATTTTATTGCTAAAACCACCATATAACCTTGAAGCATCATGCTTATGCCAAGCTGTTTTGTAACGTCTTTTTTTTTATATAATTTATCTTTGTTTTTTTCTATTTCCGTTTGTATGTGTTTGATCTATATTCGAGCTTTGATTTTATTTTATTTTAGTTAGGTGTCTGGAGATCTCTATCTCTACTTGAATTCACAATTCGCTCAAAAAGATGTGGTCTTTTTCTTTTGTCAACTCGCTAATAATATATAAAAGCCTAAGGTTCTCTAAGAGCTCTTGTTGACAAAAAAGAAATTTGATCTCCTTTTTGTCAACTTGAATTTCTGCTAGTAGCCGGGTTCGGTATTGACACAGGAGCTTTAGGGACTGTCTCTGCTTTAGCCTTACCGTAACACTAACAATTGCAGCGTTGACTGATCAGTTTACATGTCAATTTTGTACGAATTCTACTGATCCCATACAATACTGACACTTTTATTGATCTCAATGTGGATAATTATGTAATTTTGTCACTTGACCCAATCTCAAAATAACATGTCTCTCATACTTGCCTAATACATATTGGCGCAAACACGTTAACAACATTTGTAAGCTATAACAGGTCATTCATCTCTTACAAAACGGCTTGAATCATTTCTGGTTATTATCGGTATGTTTGATTGTTATGGTTGCCTCATTGCCTTTGCCTTTGCCATCAGTCATCATCATCATCACCATCATCATCAACATATATTAAAAAGAGATCTTACAAAACAAAGTGAAAGAAAACTCAAAGTGAAACAACAATCGCAACATAAATTAGAAATGTTGACAGCAAGAGATGATTTTCCACATTCGATGATAATTAAAGCGAGACTGATAGACAGCTCAAGACATCGTATGAGTTGGGAACTGTAGGCACAACAACATTCAACCGTTCAATCTCCCCCCAAACCTCCTCCGATCCAGAAGAGCTCAGACGGTTCTTCAAGCTAATCACCGCACAACAAGTTCTCTTTCCTTTGATGCCAAGACGACGCTCAAACCCATTATTCTGCCTCCATACAATGTCAATCCACTCGTGCCATATAATTACCAGTTTCCCACCATGGTTAACTAATTGAACCGTGCGGTACTTATCAGCACGCTTCGTGTACAGATCTCCCAAACCCTCAACCATTAACCACTCTCCACGGCTCCATTCATACCACAAAAACTCACCGCAATAATGACTAAACAATACATTTTCTATAACGCACCAATGTCTATTACCTGATACTACTAGACGTTCTAGACCCACCAAACCCATCTCTAAAAGCCATCTTCTTTCCTTGGGATCATAGACATACTTGTTCTTCTTGGTGACAACGTATAGCCTTGCTCCAAAAACTACAACTTTGTGTTTCAGATGGAATCCATAACCACTAGTTGCTAGGCAATAGCTTCCAAGTCTGAGTCTTTGGGTCTGTTCTTCTCTTTGTCGCTGCGGCTGCGGCTGCGACAAAATACAAATAAGAAAACAAAACGACGATAATGAAGGTGCTGTCAGAGAAAGGAGATGCTGCTGTAGTGACCGCTTCATCTAAAAAGTGACGCTGGGAATTTCAGCGGCCACCAGAGACGTCGCGAGCACACCTGCGGCAAATTGTTGTCTTCATTGTAACTATTTTCCGTTGTCGCAGTCGCAGCCGCAGCGGCAAAGAAAAGAACAGGCATGGGTTCCTCTCTCTTCCTGCATCCTCCAATCACATATATCTTCCCGTCTACAAAACAAGACTTTGCGCCTTTCCTTGCCACCGTCATCTTAGGAGCACGACGCAGAGTGTGACTCCGACAATCAAGCACAGGAACGGCTCTGGAACGACGCTTGTCCTCTTTGCTTTTGCCGATTTGGTAGATTTCGGAACCAACGGCTACAATGGTTGCGTTTGACGGAGCATAAGCATAGGAGGAGGAAGAGAGTTTTTGTTTTACCGGTACTAAGCTCAACTCACTCTTAATCTCACCGCAGTTGCTGATTAGGGTTTGATCAGGATTCATGAGATTGAACCAGCAATGATGGGTGTCCCTCGGTAACCGTAGACATATATAGAGGTGAGGCTCTGTCGCTCCGATCTGGGATCGAGCCGCGTAGATCACCGGAGGAAAAAAGGAGAAAGTGGAAGCTCTTGGAGACTGAGCTAAGAGAACGGTAGTGAGATTTGGAGAGACGAGCTAAGCAATTAGCAATTATTTCGTCTGGAACAGAGGAAAACGATGGAGAAGGAGGAGGAGGGTTCGTCATCAGTTTTTGTTTTTTCGGAGGAGGCGGCTGTGTTTACTAGGCTTTTAGGGTTACTTGCGTCTTCATCAAGAAACCCTCCAAAAAAGACTATATATAGCGTAGAGCAATCACAATTTTTTTTGAAGCGCTTGAAGCATCCACACTTAATAAACATTGAAAATCTTTTGTTTTGTTATAGCCCATGTCCAAAATCCAAACCACTCTCTTATTCTTTTCACATTCGCCGCTGTCAATGTTTTCGTAGCCCCAATTCATAACAAAACAAAAGAGACAAGCGCTAAACCCTATAACAAATCAAGGCTCATCGCTAAATCAACATTTCTTATTCCTTGCCATTATAACCAACCGAAAAAAAAAAACGAGTGCTATTGAGAGCTATTCTTGAGATCAATGACAATCACACTTATATTGTCACTGCTTTGTCTACCCAAAGCCAACCGCGTAAGCAACGTTGCAGCTAATACACTCCTTGAAGGATTATGTAGTTCTGATCCTCCTCTGTTGTCGTCGTCTTCTTGAGCCGTTCTGTTTAAATCAAGGCTCGAGGGAGCAGGAGCATTTTCGCGGAGACAAAACGTAGCTATGTCGCAAGCTAGTTGACTCGAGAGCACGTCCCAAAGCCCATCGCTCGCTAATATCAAGCATTCATCTCCAGATTCCCTTCTCATGAATGTTACTTCTGGTTCCCATGCTACCATTGGCTTTAGATACCTATCCCCTGTCCAGTGGAATAGTGGATTGTAACACAACAAATTAGGAACGATTTGCTCATACAAAAGCTGATGTTTGGTCAAATACTGAAAAAGAAAAAACAATCCAAAAAATAAAATAAATTTAAAGTTGGTCAAATAATGAAGCACTGAACAAAACAAACTTAAGTTTCTTTGAATTTTAGGATATACTTATTCCGTTCTAAGTTATGAGATGATTTGTCTGAATGCCCCTATTTTTCTTTTATGAAAATCTTATTATGCTATTTTCTATTTAATGATGCAAATAATAATACAAAATTTTAGTATAAGTGAGTTTTAAAACTGAAATAATTAATTATTTTACATCATAATTGTGATCATCACTCACTCCTCCGATCATAATCAGTGTTGGTTTTCAAGTTTGTTTCATAAAGACACAGATGATGAATCAATATTTCAACTTTCTCCCTATTATTTAAGTTTTTCAATTAAAAAGGTGGGCTAAATTTATGCATAATAGGCTAAACATTTTTTCCCAAAACGATACTAAACCTAGAACGAGTGGAGTACATCTTTTTTAGAAGAATAAAAATTATAGAACATATAAAATGAAATGAAAGTATATCATTAAAAAAAAAACTCGCACCAAAAAAAAAAATCAAATTTTTTTTTTAAAAAAAAAAACTCGCCCCATACCAATCTTTATGAAAAAAAAAATCTATATCAAAAGCTTTTAAAGAAAAAAAAAATCTATATCAGAAGATTTTAAAAAAAAAAATCTATATCAAACCAATTCATAGTAACGTTGGTTTCATTGTAGCTCCTTTACCAACTTCGACTCTGTCTCACAATTTTCAAAAGATTTTTTAAGGATTAAGAAAAATATTTACCTATGGCCCTAGACGTGGCTAGAATCCCTTCAACTCTAGCTCCATCCACTACCAAAACTCGACCACCACCTGCTTCAATCCTCGCGCGCTCGTCTGGTCTATCCGGCTACATAAAAACTCAACCAATTGAAAATCCTCCAAATGTTCCCGGTACGAGCTAAACCAGTGACGTACCAAACCAAAAGATTCGAACTAATAACCTTAATTAAATCACACCTTATGATCATTACTCAAAGGAATAGCCACTCCATTTCTACACAACACCGCACGTGAGTCACCGGTATTGGCTACGACTATGTGATCTTGTGTCAGAACCGCCGTAACCGCCGTGGAACCCGACATCGCGGCGGTTTCCCTCGGATCGCAGCTGCAAAATGACACGTTGGTCGTCCCGCAAACGCACGTGCTCGTTGCCACCTCATCCATCTTCTCGAAACTCCTCTTCATCACTTCCCGCCATTTCTTCTCCACCACGACGTCGTTTTCGTTTGCTCCTTCCTCATCTTCTGGTTTCTCCAGCTCCTCCTTGACTAATGTGTGCATCGTCGTGCTGCACAATGTCGATACCTGTTAAAATGACCAAAACGCCCCTGATGAAAATTAAATATATTTTAAATTGTTTCCAAGCGGTTTAGCATCGGAATTGTCTTTTTTTTGTTTTTTATTTTACCTGAGAACCGCCATGGCCATCGTACACAGCGAAGAAATGAACCGGTTTTTGCCGGTTAATCTCCGGTTTACACAAATTTGGTTTAACAGTAACCGTATCTTCCATTTTACGGGATCTTCCCATAACCGAAACAATTCCGTACATCGGCTCGTGGTCTGTTTCTTCTCCCTTCAACACCGGAGTTTCCGATTTCCTGTGAGACGAACTCGGAGACGGATGGGAACCTCCGATATCCGCCGGAAGACCGCCGATCTCCGCCATAGTCGTCCTCCGTGGTTGTTTCCTGATAGGAATAAAGGTTGAGTAAACCTCTCGGTTCTTAGACGATGAGGACGAGCTTGGATCGCCGAAAACCGCCGCTTGCCTCCGCATCTCGATTCTCCGTCGACGGCGCTCACGGCATTTAGTCGGCGAAACGTCTTCTCTTCGTGCGGTGGAAATTGTTCGGTAGATTTCGGTCATCAGAGAAGTGTGATCCAGTTGTAATTAATGTCGACGGAAGTGCGTTTCGATGATCTCAACATCGTCTCCGTGGATCAGTGAGCACTTATATACATGGGAACGAGAGAGAGAAGGAGAGAGAGGGTTAGCTTTTGAAAACGAGAGCTTACGAGGAAGTTGGGACACGTGTCGGTTGGTAGGTCCATTCGCGTGTTAGGATCAGGTGTTAAGTTGTTATCCACGTGGAAACGCCTTCGGTTTTCATAAACCGCTTCCTGTTTTGAGTTTTCCTTGATTTTGAACATAACTAATTAAAAAAAGACTGATATACCAAAATAATTCATGTATTTTTTATAGATGAAGTTTTATATTTCAAAATCAACAGAATATTACTCAAAATTGATGGCGAAACTGTTATAATAAAATCCTATCAAGATCTCGCTAAAAATAATATGCATTATATGAAATAAAATAAATTTATTTATAAAATAATGTAACAAAAAATTAATTAATTCAGATTTAAATTTTTAACATGCATGATAGTAAAGCTAACAGATGGATTATTGATCTACGTTTTGAAATAATAATTTTGTGTTCACGATTGCGTGAAAGATAAAAACCGATAAAAATAGAAAATAATTCCAACAAAAAAAGAAGAGATTTCTAGCTAAAGAAAATAATAACTTACAATAATGTATAAACTTAATGTATACAAATATAACTAGCTAGAAATGAAGCTTAATAATTAACATAGTATCAAACTATCAAATAAATTGTTTAATTATCTAGACTCTGATATTAAAATTATATGTCTATATTTGCATAAAAATAAATATTATTGACAGTGAAAAACAATTTTTGTAAAACATGAAGAAAATTTTAGAGAACGAAAAATTAATGATAACTTCAAAAAAAAAATTAAAATTTTTTTTAATTATAAATCTAAAATGAAAGTCACAATAAAAAACTATGAACGTTCAACAAAATATTTTAAAATATTTTTTATACCAATTTTTTTATTTTATTTTAATCATCTTTATGGTTTTAATAAAATAATTAATTTTTGTTAGTTTTTCATGAATACATATTATTAAATTTAAAATGTTTTTGTTTGTTGATCATATTATACTAAATCTTGGGGTACATTTACTGATCGTTCCAAATCTCGAGTAAATAATTTCTACAAAAACTATACTTAAACCGAATCATAGGAAAATCATAAAGTTGGAGATATCGTCGGAGAAAAAAGTTGACGGGTCGTCAATACTCGTCTCGTAACTCTTTTTCAGTGCTACACTACACATGCTGATCATCTACAACTTCTCGACTCCTCAGGTGTTGCGACTTGTACCAATGAAACACGTGGCATTGCTATGCCAGTTAAAGTCCATCAAGGCTATATGGCTTTTATTCTTTAACTGGTTTCCTACAAATGAAGAAAAACGGCGATATACTGTACAAATATTATGCTAACAGAATTTTTTTTCTTTTTAAAAAATGAAAAACAAGTGATGGATACAGCTCATACATGATAAAAGGAATCATGTAATGTTTATTTCAATAAATAATTAAGAGACACAGGATTTACAAAGTATTGAATTTAAACTGCATGGGATGAAGCTGATGAAAAATGCAGATCAATATCCTAATAGCTGTTTTGAGGTTAAGTTGAGTCAAAATCTTGATAGTTTATAAAACCAGCAGTAGAAATGTGTAAATTGTCTAATGGGAAAAACAAAAAAAAGCAAAAAAAAAAAATACATCAAAAGTCAACAATTTACAGACTTTAAAGTTACAAATTACAAATCAACCAAGAATTATAAAAATGTAAAAATTACAAACTGTTCAAAAGTCAAATAAATTTAAAGTTTCAACAGAGCTTCAAAATCAAATAACGATTAACAATTTTTTTTATTTTTACACCGTCCTCTAAAACCTTTTATATTGAAAAGCTAGAAAATACTAATTTAGAGCACAGGATAACAATTATATATCCGTCCATAATTACAGAAGCTAAAAACTTCTGTATTTTTCTAATAAATCGGTCCTTTCATGTCTACTACAGTCAACTAACAATCTGCAAACATTTTACAAAATAATTTAAGATAACATTAAATTTAGGGGGGAGGGGGAGGGGGAATGAGAAATTTATCTAAAAAAAAAACATGTAAATCCACGTGGTCGTATGACAGCTATCTAAGCTGCAAATCACCGTCCAAGCCCTAAATGCAAACCAAGGGGCAAGAGATCTCTTGCAGCTTTTGCATCACACGTCTTATTGTTTCTTTTTTTGGATTTTCCAAATAAAGGAGAAGTTACTCGAAACTACCTTTACGTACTATGTATCTTCGCTACAATTCACTTAGTACAAAATGTTATAGTTTTTCTTATGGAATTTTGCTTATAGGACAAGTACGTAGATTGAGATCTTTGTCGTCTTTCAAAACAACCTGAAACATTTTTGGTAAACCGATTGTGCGTCAAAGCATATCTGAAGAAATATTGATCATCAGAAAGAATTGGAAAAGAGTTATTTTGTTTTCCATTTAAAAAACATACCTCCATTTACATTACAAGAAGGAGATCTTAGTTATATTAAGTGTCTTACAAAATACATTACTCCACAATTGTCAAAATCTATGATACATTCTCTCAAAATGGAGCATTCAACTTTTGTATAAGAGTTAAAAAAATATGCATCTAGTCTCCTAAACTAACACATTTTTAGACAATTATCATCATACTATAAATGAAGCAATTATAATATTATATTAAATCATATCCGTTATCATATGGAACGAATTGATTCCGAAGATCATTCCTAATTTGTGTATGTCAAGCCATTTTAATTATATCTCGATCTAGCTCAAGCATGATCGTTCCAAGGCAAATCAAATCTAAAGTTTGATACTGAAATTTTTTATAAACTCATTTGGCTGTAATTTTAAGTATTTTCTAGTACTACTTTACATTTTTTTTCTTAAATGCTTTTGTCATGTTCGCTAAAACTACAAGTACGTATACAGTTTTGATTCATGGTCTTTAACCGACTTTCGTATATAGTATTCCCAAGAGTCAATATCTCCAAAAGACAACTTGGAATGGAAGATGTACGGCGCCTGAGTACAAATAAATTTTAAGATTGTATTGGAAATAACAAAATATCAGTTTCACTCTTAGGCACAAGTGTAGAATTTGTTTATCTGACATCAAGAAAATTTTATGCATACAACATCGACAGAGGTAAAAATCTCTCCAGAAATAAAAGCCCTCGGAATAAACATCGTCTGTAACCTCTTGATGGTTTGAAATGAAAAGGAAAACATGGTACTAAAATCCTAAAAATTTCAGTTGAGGATTTTGATAAACTCACATCAACTTATAATTGCAGAAACGAATTGAACGTTAGAAAATATAATATATATTCAAATCTATTATACAAGCAGAGTACACATTTTTCTTTTAAATTTTGTGTCACGAGAATAGCATGTCTTCTAGAATTCTAGGTTATAGCCTAAATAGATATTAATATGATACATGAAAAACCGTGTTCTATAAATATAACTATTAAGCAACAGTAAGTAAAACAATTAAGCATTTTATCGTTTAATTGTTTACTTTCTGTAGAAACAAATGTTTCAGTTCGATCACTCTTATTCGCTGCTAGGCAGATTTTTTTTCTTCTTTTTATATAACTTTTCATTGTTCAAAAGAATTCTTTAGTATCCTATAGAATTCCTAAATAGATTATTTTTCAATGGGTATATCAGGTTAGCCGATTGTCTTTCTTGGGCCTATGAGTCCACTACCTATCCAAGAAAAGCCCAATTGTTTTGTTTTGGGATAGGAAAAGTCAACTCTGACCTATCTCCTCCTCTCCTCGCCGCGGGAAAGGATCTCCTCCCATGGCGGATCAGTTGTCGTCTCCACCGTAAAACCTCGAAATCTTCAGGTGCGTCTCCGTGTCAAATCTGACTGTTCAGATTTACAGTACTTGTTTTTTCCGGTGATCATATCGTTTTTGTTTTCGCGACAATCGATTTGTTGTTTGATTTTGAGAAATCTGGGAAGCTTTCCGAAATTTCAGAATCCATGTTGTAGAAGGTGAACGAACTGGTCTGCATTTTTGTGCGTGGGCTTGTAGTAAACACGATCATTGGTTTTAAATTTAGCTTCTGCAAGAACATGATCTAAATCTGATTCGAGTCCAATTCAATTGAGACAAAAGAAGAACATAGATTCTTGTGTTATAATGACAAAAGAACAATTCATTGCAGGTTCTAAAGCATTGGTTCTAGGAGAAGATCTCTCAATACATGAGGAAGTTTATTTCGAGAAACTAAAAACATTAGAAATTGCTCTCAACAGGTTCTTCTTCTTCTTCTTCTTCTTCTCTACAGAGGAGGCAACCATGTGATTATAACCGGGCTTCGAACTCTATGCGTCGCGCTCTTCCACAAAAGACCACCAAACTCAGGCCGCTTCAACCGCAACTTCGTCCTGAAAGTGACCGTGTACGAAAGCTTCTGGTGTTTTCTAGTGAAGTTGAGTGTTTTGGGCTGAACCGTGACGGATGCGCCTTTGAAAGGAGAGACAGAGACCTTGTAGCTTGCAATGTGAGGACCAACATTGGTCACAGTTCTTCTAAGGGTCATTGATTTAACATGTGTGTTCTCTGGGAACAAAGCTGAGATCGCAGGGTAGTTCAAGTTTCCGGGGTTATTACCGGCAAGACTGTGTTTGCAGGATCTGTTTGAGTGCTTTGTGAACACCTTGAGCTGTGAAGGGCTTAGTTCTTGAGTGCAGAGGAAATCGAAATAGTCCTGAGGTCCGATGTCATAGATAAGACCAGGGTCTATAGCTTTCAAAGGATTTATATGTCCAGCACCGTGATCATAAGGCGATGAAGGAGCTGCTCCTGATGCATCTGTGAGAGGCTTGAACGTGTTGTCGTGAACATAAGCCGTTGTCATGAGAGCTGATTTGATCGCTGCGGGGCTCCAATCTGGATGCCTTGATCT